AGAAAGAAAGAAAGAAAGAAAGAAAGAAAGAAAGAAAGAGTGTACTATCTATGTACACAACAAGAGAAGTTCGACGATATATTTTGGAACATGAATGTGCTAGGTATCAATTCAACCATCTGTTTGGCTTTCTGCAAGACCACATTCTACGTGTAAACAAATGCTTTGAATTCTAAGAACGTTTGACTATAACGATAGAACAAACTATACATTGCTTTCAAAGTCAAAATATTGATCTTTTAACCGTTTTGGAGAGAATGGCTTGTGTACAGTATACACTATGATAGCAAAAGAAACAGTCTTTCAAACACGAATTTAAAAAAGAAAATTTGAATGTTTATTCAAAAATCCATCTTTTCCTCTTTTGTATTTAGCTTTATCGATCCGGATTTTAAGTGTCTTCCTGCGTTTTGTAAGCACCCTTCTACTGTTTTCAAAACAAAAAACCTAAATATCCCAAAGGAAATTTTCCGATTCAATTTAAAGCGTAAAAACTAGATTTTAAGGTTTCAATGTTTTGAGTTTACAAATTTTTAAATTATTTATATCAAGCCAAATGAAGTGAGCTTTGTAAGCGATATTTCGGTAAATATATAATTTATTAAGTGATATTAGAGCGACAAAGACTAAACATTGAGCCACTTTGGAGGGTTAAAGTGAAAATGGCTTAAATTTTAAGGAAACGCAAATAGCACGCATAGGATGTACTGGTCAATATTTTCGCACGTTCACAGCGGTCGCATTAAACCGAGCTCTGGTAATGAGCGATAGAAATGAATCAAGATTTATGGAACTTGTTCATAAACTTTACAGCAAACAATTTAAACCATTTATTCATTCTTTTATCCATTCATTCATTCATTCATCCATTTAACCCGTCCGTCCGTCCGTGTATCCATCCATCCTTCCATTTTTCTTTCATTCATTGAATTTGAGTCCAAGATCTACAAATGCTGCATTTTGCTTGGCTTTGCTTTGCATTTATCTACTCGAGTAAAACAGGAAATCCTTACATCTTAATAATGAGCTTCATTTCAATAGCGAGAGCAAAACAGACGAATATCGCGTTGATCATCGCGACAGGAAGGTATCATCCTTAATATTCTAAAACGTGTTATTTTGAAGAAAAAAAGACAGTCGACTTTAAAATTGCTCTTTAGATAATAAATGCCTCCAAGCTACTCATTTCTAATGACTTCCATTTTATTACTGCAAATGGTTCCCAACACCTCCCCTCTTGGGAATAAACATCCAGCTGATCTGAGAAAAAGTGTTAGCCAATCACAATCGAGAAAAATGAGGTGTCACTTTTTTCTTGAGCACGGATTTCTAGGCCACCAAATGAAAAATCATGACGTTGTTTATATGAGTTTGTTAAATTGCTCATAAGCCTTTACACAATATTTTCAGAATTGGATAAGTGATTGTGAAAATAATTCGTCATTTGAATGTCGGGTCTTTGAGATACGAAGGTTTAAATTTCCAATATGTTAATGACTATGACGTAACATAAGGGATTTGAGTTATTTTGTGGCAACTTTTAATATTGAACGCTGGACATTTTTTGGAAACAAATTTGTAAGAACCTTTAGGTGAGTCACGAGTAAAAGGGTGATGCTTTTAAAATACTGTATTATTCCAGAACGAGTGCAGTGTTGTATAAATGATCTCTTTTTCCACGTGCAACTATTAATACAGGGTGGGTAGGATAGGAAGAAAGTCAATTCTCCATGAGCTGTATCCGTATATAAAAATTCGTTCACAAAAGACATTACGACAATGCTAACAACCGAAATTTATGACATCATCATATAAAAATGACGTCATCTGTGTCGTCATGTATAGGTAATGAAGGATGTGATCAGCGATGAAGCTACGAATTGAGCTGGAGCCGGGAGCTGGAGAAATATTCTGCTCTTGTTAAAAGTGGGATCAGGAATTGTCAAGTGAGTTGTTTGTTAGACACAAAGGAATTTTGGATGCAATTTKTTAAAGTCGTCTTTTTTGGAGGGGGAGGGAGGGAGGGAGCGTGACAGTCTACATTTTTTTATCCAAGACCATTTTTTAACTTAATGAAAAATAAGCTGGTTGTTGAATAAGTAAAATTAAGGGACACGTGTGAATCGGAGGGCTAAATGCCTCGCCAGCGAGTCTCCTGCTGAGATGCTGTTGTTTTCAATCAAAAGACTACACAGTTTCAGCTCCTGATTACTATGTAAACATCTATTCCGACCTATTCTCCAAGCTCTCTGTCTAATTCTTAGTGAATATAGCTGAAGCAACCTTTTAAAAACACCTTTGAATTAGTTCTGGCGGGAAGATCAGTAGACATGACTTGGAGCCGATGTCAGAGAGAAAAGCGCAAAGACTACCAAACAAAAAGTACGAGGTTTATCCTGAAGAAGAATGGACTCTGAAGTCAGATCATAATCAGCATTTAGCAAGCTTTGTCGGTCATTCAGCGTGTCTAGAATAGGATATATCACAGACGAAAGTTCGTAGAATTAATGAATGCAAAGTAGAACAGAAATAAATACCATGAATCCGAAGCTTAAATCAAGTGGAGGTTCAATCCTTGCCCAGGAAATATTTAATCTTAAGCCGCCAAATATCCCGAGACTTCTCTTAGAGTGCTATTCGGTAATTGAATTTGAAAATCAATAAATATGACTGAGTTTATCACAGTACTTTGTCTTACATGAAGAAATATGCATTTTAAAATACGATTATTTTCGATTTTGTTAATTTGAATATAAGAATATGTAAAGCTAGGAGCCTTTCTGACCTAAGTTCGCGGCCAGGAATCCTGACAGAATTATATTCATAATCTCTAGCGGATTCTCCAATGATATATTCTAAAATTCTATAGCTAGTTTTGTAGCTTAATAAAAGAGATTGGTTTGAAATTCTTCGTTAGAGACGTAGCCCTAGTACTCATAGCAAAGATACGTGAATAATTTCTAAATTTCCAAAGTAATTTACAGAGCACCTGCGACATGCAGAGCATTATTACTGACCTTTTACTCGCTCTCTTCAACATGAAATATCATAAAAATTTAGATAGCTTGGTTTCAAAATTTCGCCCAAGTCTACCTCAAATGTAATGAAGAACTCTTGTACCATCAACAATAACTTCACATGATGTACACAAACACAAGCATTCTGACCCCGAAAACCACCAAAGCGAAAAGAGAAATGCGTGAATAATTCTCGAGTAAAGATACTTTATACTTACCGGTAAAAATATTTACTTCGGTCGCCATTTTCTAAGTAATTCAGCTGATTTTGGCGTCCAAATGTGTTTGTATTGAGAGCCGAGTCGAGAAAGCGAGGCGAATGTACGCCTTAGACTTCTGTCAACGCCGTCAAACTTAGCAATAGGTCCAGTGTTATGATTTATGCTCGTGCTAAGGGATGGTCTTTGTCAAGCTTGATAGCTACAGCATCGGCAAACGTGCTTGTAGCTCAGTGAGTAATTCTCCATCATGATAACAATTTTGATCGAAGAGGTTAAGAGAATTAAATATGGGTGTACCGTGTTTTGTTGAATGAACCAATTAAGCCGTTCGACAACTAAGGGTATTTTAGCTTCGCACTATAATGGTTTTTTCTCGATCTGTGATTGGCTGATGTAATAGTACAGATGCCATTCAAGTGCAGCTGTTTGCGTAATACCGCAAGACTCAGAGTGAAGGCAACACACTTCGAATCTCTGTTTATTTCATCTTATTTTTTAGCGATTAAGCTCCTGTTAACAAATAAATATTATTGCGGGAAGACGTTATAGGTATCATATCTTGACGACTCGCATTTTACGGGATTAAAAGTGATTCAGTCGTTCGTTATTCAAAATGATTGTGGAGCGGTCGCTCCGGATGAGAGATTTGAGTAAGGAGTTAAATGGGATGTCAAAGCCAATCACTCGACGAAACCGAAACCAATTGCTAATAAAAGTGTCGCGCAAAGTGACTCAGCGCTGCGCCAATAAAATAAATGGATGCATGTGTGAATGAGTGTTGGTGAATGGAAGAATTGGCAATGGAGAAGAGGAATGGAAAGCGGAGGGATGAAGATGATAAAGGACGGACTAATTGAGGAGGGGGGTTGCGTAAATCCCCCAAAAAATATCGAGCAAGCACTTCACCTATGAAAAAAATAACGCACAACCTATCCTTTCACAAAAGAATATTTCTTGATGATGATGATGATAGTAGTTGCTACTGGCCTTCATATCTCTTGACCAACCCCATCGCAACCGCATCGCTGGTTCCTCGTTTGTCATGTCAAGCGTTTTCGTAAAAGCACCCAAAAGTCTAAAGAAATACTCTAAAGCTAGAGAGAGAAAAACGGTCTTAAAGAATAAAAAGGGTGCCAACACTCGACATCCCTCTGGACCACAATAACCAATAAACTATACCCACTGGCCGGAAATGTTTTAAAAGTTAAGTGGGATTTGGAAGCCCAGTTAAATTTTGTATTGATCGTATTATAAGATGTTATCATCGGGTATTATATGTGCCATTTTGTAAAAATAGATGTTCCACAAAGAATGGAAATAAAAATATCAGTTCCGATCTCTCTAGTGTATATAATTATCATAAAGTGAACAATGGTCAAAATGTGAACATGATCAATAGTTACTGACTGAAGGATTCGGCATTGCCAAGCAACCTAGGGTTGAATTGTCGGCTGACATCAAGGATGTTACACTTAAACCACTTAAAGCCAGTGCAAACAAGTTTTCATTCTTGTCAGCTTAAATAGATTGTTTTCCCTTGAACATAAAAATATATAAACTAAACTTTCAAGTGTCCAGGAAACAGATTACAAGTTAAAAAAAAAACTTTGAGGAACGGACTGCGGTAGCATTAATTGTTGATTAACGATATGGGCGTTCGAATTGAAGCTACTTTGATGCGAGGGAGACTACCGCATCGACGGTATCGAAGATAGCCAGGCATGGTGTTGATAACTGATGTTTGCTTAGCTAATTGTCGTTCTGTTGACTTTGTCGAACTCCATTGATAGAAACCATGTTATTGTCACATACTTAACATGCTTAGGTGACTACAGTTGACTTTTGCTAAACACGCGGGAAAAGCGCGGGAACATGAAAAATAAATGGAGAACCAAAAAATGATACAACGGCGTTGCGACAAAAACAGACACTCGAATACAATGCGTCAAATAGACAAGGCCGGTTAGTTTTCCCTTCAAATCAACGTGCCAGTGCGTTGTAGAAATGCAAGGGATTAGCTGTCCGGCTGGTCTCTCCCCTGATGCTTCGGCTAGACCATTTTCTTTCGTAATTCGTACACCCAAGGCAAAAGGATTTAATCGCCGTCAGGTCCGAAGTCCATACGCCGCCTCAGCTCTGCGGATGTCTCGGGGGTATGGCATAAACGGCACTAATGTTTTTAAATTTTTCAAAAATTTATTATCGAATTTTGCGTTTGTTCGAATCCTACCGTATCCAGATATGATTTCTTTTACTTTTAACAAAATTTGGCTTTCAAATTATTTCTTTGGATTCAAATAAAACTGGGTTTTCTCTTTTTAGAAAGAGGACTACTCTTTGATTTAAATTTTCATTTAAATTCAGAATTATAAGATTTTTTATCGCCGACCCGAAAAATCGAGACGTTATTTAAACGGCTGCCAGTGGGAGAAGTTTACTGACAAGATATTTTACTTCACTTGGATTATAAGCACTCTGCATAAGCATTTTGCCTGTATTGCTATAATTTTGTAATATGAGAATGCCAGTACTGCATACACTCAATTGAAGAATCATTGTCGGGTTCAGCAACATAGTTCTATATCTTCACTGCATACTCATTACCTCATCGCAGATGGTTAAGTTATGGGAGAAAAATCCGCGACAACTGAGGTAATAGGTATGTAATGAAGGTACATGTGGCGTGGTATGTCACCGCCACCAGGGGAGGTGGGTGGGTCCAAAAATGTATCCTTCCACAGAGTCTGATCTGTTGAAGTGACCACGCTCTAGATGGGAGYATTTATTTATATGAGATGCAATGGATCATGGCTATCGATAATAAGCATGATCCCGTCGGAATCTGGGAGTTACATAACTTTTAGCGATGAGTTCATTAATTATGCAGTGAAAATAGAACATAGAAGCTGATACCGAAATGGCATACATGGGAAGTACGTTAATTAGATGCATGCTGTGACCGGCGACCCGTGGCATCATCTACTGTTTTTAATACGCGTTTGGCATTCTAAACCGACTACATGAATGGCACAAATGAATAAATTATAATATAATTATGTGATTTCCCATGTGTCATTTCGTTCTCAGCTTTTATGTTCTATGTTTCTGAACCCGACAACGATTCTTCAATTGAGTGGCATTTCTCAGTCCTCGCGATTCTGTAAGACCGGATACCCGAGGCATGGATGTTCATCGGAGAGTTTCTGAGCGACGAAGATACGGCATCCAAGTGCATCACCTTACTGCAGAACGCGTCTTTTTTTTTTTTTTTACCTTCACGGCTTGAAACGAAGCAATCATTTCAGTTTATGAATACTGACTGACTGCAAAATGAACTGCGAAAGCAGAACTCGGCAAAAGGACGATACAACTGAAATCCCTTCGAGTAAAATCGTAAGGAAAAACGTTTTCCGAAAAGGAGAGGTTTACGAAGAAGATTTTACTAAATGTCTTACATTGGGGTTACTGTTAAAAACACGACATATTTAATATTTAAGACTTTAAGCCACTTGTTGCGAACTGGATTAGAAACTGCGGTGTACCTGTCCTAATGATCGAGAATACAATAGAACAGGTGACAACGAGACGCAGTCAAAATATATTGACACACAGAGCCCAATCCTCTTACAGTACTATACACAAACACACACACCATAAAAATAGATGTAAAATCTAAACACTTTGAATAAAATAATATGTTATAATTTTGTTATAAAAAGTTGTAAAAAAAGATTGCTTGACCGCGATTTTTTTTCAAGTTTTGTTCCAGAAACTGAGAAACGCATCTTATATAGATTTTTTTTTTGGTTGTAACTATAGCGAATAAACCAAACTCATTTATACATTTATTCGAAAACAAACTATTAAACTTATCTGTCTGTGTATTGATGATCCAGATAATCACCTAGACGCCGATGTTATCACATTTTATTTTTTCAATCATCGTGTTTTTCCTTCGTAGCCTTAGTCCTACTCGAACGAGAACAATAGTCCCTTTTTGAAGCATTTTAAAAAAGAAACAGTTTTGGAACCAAAGTATACTTTTAGTTCACAAGATATACAAAATAGATTAAGCAAATATAGGGTTCAAACTTTGTCATTATTATCCATTCAAACCTCCAAGAAAATGCTCTCTTCCTGACAACGGTAAACAGCTTCATCTTTCCAGAAAAATTAGCATTTTTTGACATTAATTATTCTTAGGAATTGTGTCAAAATTTATATTATCGAGAAGATGTTAAATTTCTTAGTAGTTGGCTTATTCAAGGTGATATTTGATTCAAAAATCAATGAAGAATAAAGGAAATATTCTTAGTTTGAATTTGTATTTTCATTCAACAAGTTGTGACGCTGTCAAGATCACAACCGCAAACCCACAACACACCTGTCGTAAGATGCTACATAAATTATTTTTATCCAACAAACTGTATATTTTCGCGCTTTTGAGGCACATCTTAATTCTTCGCGACGCTTGTGTGTAGAAATGGCGTCTTGATACAACTACAGAATTTAGAAATAATTTCTCTTTAAATCTTTGTATTATTTTAAAACAGTTTCAATGCGTTTGTTTTATGGAATGCAGAACTAACCTTTCCCGCTATGATTTCCTCAAAACTCTACGTTTTATTCTTAAGGAAACTTGGAAAATATACTCAAAGTTTTGCCATCACGTCGGTGAATTTTAGTTACCGTCGTCTGAAGTATTTTCCTAGTGGTTTTAGCGCCACATTTTCAATCGGCTTCACTTAAACTCATTTTTTATCAACTCTGCTGGAAGCACTCAGTTCTGCGAAGTCACACAGAAGGCAAAACCCTACTCTTTTATTATTTACTTTTCGATTCTAACTTAAGAAATTATCCTTAAAAAATAACATTTGGTAACTTACCTCAATATAGATTAATGGGTTTTCTTGGAGCTTGGGATCGTAGTAGTTTGTAAGAAGTTTGTGAGGCTGCAGTATTCCTATAATAATATTATCATTTTTGGAGACAGCTGTATGATTGGTCTTCGCAAAGAACAAAACCAACTAGTGTTTCCAATGTTACCAGCTGGTCTAGACCCAGGCTGTGCTCTGTCAATTGATCAGTGAAAGACTGAAACTAGACAAGGCTTCATAAAGTAACCTGCCAAAGGAAGCCCACTTATTCAGAACAGGTCCGATAGAGAAAAATTGGTAAATTGTAAGAAATATCTGAGAATTGGCAATAACATTGATAATAATAAGCATGAAAAGAAGAAAATAAAAAAAAAGAAAAGAGAGAAAAGAAAAAAAAGATAGAAAGACAAATAAGAAAGATTTAAGTAATTTATTTTTTATA